CGTAGGTCAAAATTCTTATTTACATGAAGTATAACTTAAAATAAGTAAAAATTTCATAATATTATATCAAAAACCTTTGACTTCATTAAACTGTAAAAAATGTTTTAAAAACAGTCATTTGGGCTGCGTTGAAGATTGTCTGACAAGCAGCAAAGAATAGTTTCATCAGCATTTAAAAATATTGATGCAGGAGTACATCATGGGTCTATGCTATGTCCATTTTTATTTTTATCGTACAGGAATAATGTTTTAAAGGTGTAATATTTCTATCCCCTTATTTGCAGAGGATGCATCATTGTTTGCTGCTGTATATGGATACCGATTTTGTAATGGTTACTCCTACATTCTCTCTCACAAAAGATCTTGGTGAATAAAATAGTCAAAAATTTGGGCTGATACATGTAGCTGTAATGTTGAAAATAAAAGTTTACGTTAATTTAACAAGAAAGCAAAGTATTTTCCGAGATATTCACCTAATATTATGAGATTGCAGATGAACACACTCTTTAGAAACTCTCTAATAAAGATTTTGTAGTGTTAAAGAATATGTGCATGTTGTATGGGCTTATCTTTTTCAGGAAAATGCGAAATTAAACTGTATGAAAATGTTCAAGAATTGGTTCTATAGACATTTTTCTTCTAGACCCATTTGATAAATGAATTTGGTTGGAACAATTATATCAGAATAGAATGAATCATAAACTTATGAATTATTGCTGCCTTTTCTTTCAGTACAGCATTGGATATAACTTTTTCATGAAATTGTGTAGAAAAGTGTCCTTACTGCAATAGTTTTACTGTAATTGCATGCAGCACTTTACTGGGCTATATTTAGTCATATGGCAATATAGAAAAAGCATGTAGTACAAACCTAAGTCGACATGAAGTGCTTTCGATTCATTACTTCTATTGCATTTTACGATAATATGCAGCATACCAGTGCATTGTGATTTTTTTGTACTGTTGCAACAGTGCGATTTACAAAACTTTCGTCCAATTACATTTTTGAATACTATATGTAAAATAGCCTCTGTTATCATTGGAAATAGATTAAAAACTTTGGATATGAAACTATTCATCCTTGATCAAACTGGTTTCATTGAAAACAGGTTAATAGGGAAAATACTCGACTAATTTTTGATAGAATGCAGTATACTGAAGAGGGAGACATTCCTGGTCTTCTACGGTGTACTATTTATTGAATTCGAGAAAGCCTTTTATATTTTCACAGAATTTTATGGAAAAAAAATGCTTTAACTTACTAAGTTTGCACCTGATATTCATAAGTGGGTGAAATTATATTATCATAACATTACTTCTATTAATCAAGGTGGTAATCTCTCGGCATCCTTTAATATCCAAAGAGGCCGTAGACAAGGTGATCCTTTATCACCTTATATATTTCTACTTTGTGCAAAAATTTTAGCTTCACAAATAAGAGAAAATAAAAGTATTAAAGGAATTACTGTTTGAAATAATAAAATCTCACAAGTATACGTACTAGCTGATGAAAAGAATATCTCACAACTAGCTGATGATACGTCAATTATCCTTGAAGGTAACAAAGAATCTCTTTTAGAAACAATAAAAGTATCATAGCATTTCTCTGAAATGTCGGGACTAAGAGTTAACCTTTCAAAAACCAATACGGGTATGGATTGGGTCCAAAAAATATAGTCAGGATATCCTTTCCAGAGATTTTAATCTGAAAAGAGGGGACTAACAAATTTACTTCAATTAAATTCGATGTAGAGAGTCACGAAATATGTCTAAACTGAATTATCAGCCACAGTTAAGTAGATTAAAATCAATCTGCCATTAATGGAAGAATAAACACTTAACACCTTGAGGAAAAATTAGTTCTATCAAAACTTGGGCTTTGTCTATTTTAAATCATATCTTTATACATGTTACATGTATATATAATTCCATATCATGATAACGAATTTTATAAAGAATTCGATAAAGTATTCTTTTATTTTTGTGGAACCACTCTCAACATGGAATAAATAGGGTGTAATGGTTAAAAAATGACGATGGGTGGGGGTGTTAAAGATGATAAATATAAAGGCATTTATAATTTCTTAAAATTAATTTTAAAATTAATTTTTGGAATGAGGCAACTATTTTCAAAAAGAGGTCTGCATAATTTTATACCAAATTAAGATCATAAAAAGTTACAACCTGTGGAATTGAATATATAAAAAATACAAAGAAATCCCAGAAAGACAAATTTTGGGTTGATGTATTTGATTCATGAATCGAGGTTCAGTATAAACAAAACCTAACTATAGAAACAACTGATAATATACTCCATTATTTCACAACTCTACTATCCTTGTTGGGGAAAAAGTAAATCCATGTTTAACTCTAATATCAGACACCTTAATGATCTTATTAGTGAAAAGGGTTGGTTCCTGACTTATGGATATTTTTGTGATATGAAAATTAATTTTTTTGAATTCATGATTGTTATAACTGCTCATAAAGCATGGATGAAAAAAAGTCAACTTTGAAGAAAATGCAGCTAAATTACAAAACCCCTTGGTCATGTCGAATATGCATATATATCCTTCTACGATGCAGAAGATCAAGGCAGTTTTATAACCTTATCAATCAAAACTGCACAGAACCTACTGGTAAAAGATGGTGAAATATTTGATTTGAAATACATAGAATGGAAAATAATTTTTAGATTGCCAATTAAAGTTACAAATAATTACAAAACTGCAATGAATTCAATATAGAATTCTGAGCAAAATTTTAGCTTCCAACTTATACATGTATTTATTCAAAATTAAAATTATAGATGGTAAGAACGGTACATGTACATTTTGTTAGATTGAAGAAACAATCGAACATTTGCTTCGGGAGTGTGATAGTGTACAGTATTTTTAAAGAGAATTTGAAGATTACATTAAAAATAAAACTAATCTTCAAATATCAACGAAAAATATTCATTTTTGGGTTCTTGGGTGAAAAGGAAAATATACAAAATAACCTTGTTCTATGACTAAGATATTATATCTACACTATGCGATGGGAAGACAATGTAGTTGCTGCAATATCGTTTATGAATACATTTTACGAAAAAAAATATTGCTTATATAGAAATGGCGAAAAGGATATATTTGACACCTTCTGGAACCATTGGAATCATTTTAATTATTTTTTTAAAATGTAAATATTCATAAATTAAAACTGCATGCAACCCTATAACCTCTCTCTCTCTAAAATAAAAATTAAACCCTCTGTAGCTCTTTCACATATATTTTGTATGATTTTGCAGAGTGGTGTTTAAAAATATATAAAAATTTATCCTCCCCCCTCTCCTCACCAAAATGAAAAGACTACTGCATTGTCTATGCTCATGTATTTTTTCTGCAATGCTGGAAAAATGAAAGAATTTTGCTGTTCTTTGCTCATGCTTTCTTACTTGGATGATACACACTTATTCCAGGGACCTATGGTCCCTGCTTATTCTTGAATATTTAGATTTTTGGCTAGAATATGGTTAAATATAGAGTACCTTTTAATCCAAGTCGTTCTGTACCCAACGAGTTTGGAGTACATGTGATTTCTGAAATGTTTTTCTCCAAAATTTGTTGTTGTTGTTGTTGTTGTTTTTAAATCTCTAACCACTTTTATCTAAGTGGTTTTGAATTCTTTATTCATATGTCTCCGAATGATATACTTGGAAATATCAAAGTTGTTATAATAAAATGCATCTGTTTTGAAAAAAAAAGAAGCAAATGCTAGAAAACACTGTTGTGGGGACATTACGGAGAAAATACATAATAGACGTTAACAGGCGACTACATATTATGACGATGCTATAAATAGGAAAATTCATCTCTTGTGCAAAAGAACAAATTCTGCATTCGTCCACAGTCCAAATACCTTGTTTTCTTTCCTCATCTATAGTACACATGTCGTAGTTTAGTAGTTCGGGGACTTCTCTAAAATAGTTTGACGCACGATACTTTTCAGGAGAGGACCAGTTTGCAAAATTAATTTTTATTAGAGCATATATATTATTCAATGAATATATGTATATGTATATGACAACAGGTTAATCCCTGTATTTATTAAGTGGGATATCGTAGCAAATACATTGCAATTATATATTCCATATTTTTACCAGTCTCTCTATTGTAGTAGTGAACGGTGGTGAGTAATGACAGTTATATCAAACCCTAAATAAGTCGACAGGCAGTAAATTATCCCAATAAACCATACGGTGGGTCTATTGTGGAAAATATTGCAATTGTAACAATAAGCCAAAACTGGAGATTACTCATAATTATTCTTAATGATTTTTATCTAATTTTATCACGAGCCGCTAGGCGGAAAATTGTCCGCTGTTACTATCCCGAGGTTTGTGGCCGGAATTTTCACACCTGTTGCGATAACCAGTCGAATCTGATAACACAGGTAATTTAGAAGTCGACCCCGGGGGCTAGGACTAAGGCATTATATCTGTTGTCGGATTAAAAGATTTACAGATTATTATATGTCCTAGTCATAGAGGCTCTTTCAAATTTATGCCAGGCGTGGATGTATATTAAAGTGTGCTGGGAATTTTGAGATTGTTGAAACTTCGGTAAGTTGACTGGAGTATTATCATTTTAATATAAGACACTTAAGCATTTTTTTAATTTAGGGGTCAAAGTTTTAAGAGTCACTTAGATGATCACGTATTCCTTTTTGAAATAATTCTATTGCTTTGATTAATATTTCTGAAAAGACCTAAGGATCCGTCATTTTAATTATTTCTGAGACCCCTGTTGCTTATATTTGAGAACTGTACTTACCGACGGATTTGCTAAGACAATACGACACAGTGTTAGTTATAGGTTTTGTGTTGTTTTATGCAATTGTTGTTAGATTAGCGTTCATGATAAGTTGTCATCTACTTTAAACAATGCACATTGCCCATCAGAGCAGTAATGACAGCGGGAGCTTTTGTCAGTTTTGTTGACAATTCAACGCGGAGATTTAAAGCATTCAATCACAGGTCTTAAGTCGTCAAAATTTCGATCTAGACTATTGATTAGGGGGTTTCTTTTGTCATGAACGAATTTTCAGAAGGTAACAGCTTGTTTTAAGGTAATTTTATATTTTTCAGAAACAGTGTGCAATATATAAGAGAATTTGCGCACGCAGGCGAGGCGGTATTTTCGTTCGAGTGCCACGTAAATAAGAGAATACAGGACCAATAAGATTGCCCTAGGATAAAAAGTCCCGCGACGACGCACATGGGTGATCGCAGTGACAAAACATTTCATTTGCATTAAAGAGTTCATAACGCAGGTATTCTGGACACAGGTAGCACGATATGGCTACCTCTCATCTAGTAGTGACTTTCTGTGCCACTGCTGGCAAGAATGGGGAAGATTTAGGAGTGGACGAGGAACAAATTGTGCTCTTTGTGTATCTATTATTCGACGTGCTAAACTGCAAGGTGAGAGGAAACTTTTATCTAAACTTCTACACGTAACCCACTTCAAAACACACATATACATACACACACGGCCATCCGGTTTCATTCACCTGTGTTGAACACGCGGTTTTGTGTACACTTTATCTTACTTTTAAAACTTAGTAACTCTTTTTTTCTCACTGAGATAAGTTTTAGGTATGACATTTCTATACTATTAATCATTCGATACATTACACACGACCTCACTGAATAGACATACCAGAAGTATGTAAACACAAGACGACAGACCCCTTCTTAACTAAAAATAATCACGTTTACTCTGGCCTATTTTTACCTGTCCATAGGTGTGTAGTGTTTATTTCACTTTGTACATTTCATGACATTTTGACTAAAACTTTCAAAAACTCAATTCTGCATTAAACACTCGCCATATGGTGTCTTTAAATGTGTCAGTGTACGTAAGTGATTTCACAGCAGGTTGAAATTGGAAGTGTTCACACGATTATTAATGTACCATGTAAAAGCAAAACCGGCTTTTATTTACAAGATACAACAAATGACTCATCTTGACAACTTTTTTAAAGACATTATTTCCTCTTAAGGTTTTATTTTTTTTTTAACCATGATATTCCTGATTCCGTAGGTAGTTGCTGTTCAACAACATTATGTTAAGCCTCAACCATCAGAGACAACAGAAACTGTGCTTACAGAAGAATGTAAGACAGAGACCGGCCTTAATGAAGAAGCAGTCAAGCATTCTCAGCCTCTAGAACACATCCTGGATGAGGTGAGATCATTGTTTACATTTCTTACATCCCCCTCCCATTAAAGTTTACATCCCGGTGTATATTTCTTATCAATCCCCTCATGAGCTATCTATTTGACAACCATCGAAAAACCACTTACTGCTATTTATTCCATACTTAATGCCCTTTTATGTTAATATTTACCACCCAGTTATAGATACACGCGTACGAATATCCACGCGACTTTATGAGTGTATATTTCATTTTTGTTTACTCCCCCAATTCAGAAGTGAACATTGTTGTGTGCCTGTACACCCTTAAGCAAACAACATCAGCTGTTGATTGACAAACAGTCAACGGAGCTAAATAATAATGCAACAATGGGTTCACCATTCATATATATAAACATCTGCATTTAAATTCCTTATGTTCGTTCAAATTGCCTTCAGAATTCGACCCTCGGAGTAAAACCACTGTAAGTGAAATTGTGTCATTCTGTCTCCGGATAACATTTTCTCGCCTGACTTGCATGATAAATGATTGTGTTAGCGTCAAGAGAAATTTTTTGTATAATTAGATACATGGCGAGGACAAATATGACATATACTGTATATCTAATTTTTTCCAAAAACTTGAGGGACACTTATGGTTTGTGAATAATTTATTGCTGCTTTAATTACCGAATGTCTCCACAAAAAAATCTAATAATCAAATTAATCGCTGTAATTTATATTGGTGAATATTTAATAAATGACCACTTGCTCTGGCACTCTTAGAGTGTCCTTTTTCATATTCTTTCCAATCGCAACCTGTTGTCAACTCTTTCCAATCGATGACGTATGTTTGAGCCCATGCATTTGAAAATCGTGCTGGTAACATCTTGTCGAACAATTCTTGCCAAGAGGAGAAGTACTGATGACGAAAAGCTGTGCCAGCTGGTCAGATAGAATATTTTAATTTCGATCGTCTATATATGGTGTACTCAACAAGTTAGATGCTTTTTGACTTTTCCACTAAAATAACGGTTGTAGCATATTGCCGACTATCTCCGGTTGACGAGGATGACACAAATAGCGAAAATGTACAATTATATATGATACCGATATAAATTGTCCAATTTTGTGAATTACTTATAAATGTCATGTATATAATACAGACTTGGGACCTAAACAGCTGACTGTTGCTAATTTCAAGAGAAAAAAAATAAGGTCATGGGTATTTTTTTCTTTACTCACGACATCTTCAAGAGGGGGATAAATAGCCAAGGGGATTGTTGTCCTTTTTAGAGTTATATAACGAAATACACCTGTTTAGATTAGCAAGTACTCAGAAGATATCTATAGGCACCTGACTACTTTCAACGTTATCGTAATTCTTCATGTCATGGGAAAAATGAAACCTGTCCCAAAATCTAACAGCAGACGACAACTTGTACTGCTTCAGACGACAGAAAAACCGTCTAGAAAAAAAACAGCATGTTGTAAACTTTTGCACCAAATACAACTGCAGATAAGTGTAAATGAAATAAATCATTCAAAATATTAACTCTCTGAAAGGAAGAAAGAAGACCAATGCATGTGTTGATTGAAGGTCAAGATGGTTTTATCCGTAAACTCATTAAAATTACAGACTAGACAGTCTGGTTTGGTAATGTCATCATATATTTCTATCCATATTTGTATATCTGCTCCATATATATTTTACACAATATCCTACCTCATTAAAAACAATTAAATAGGCATCTGTTGGTGTTTTCTGACGTTATTAGGAATTGCAAGAGCACCAAGTCCTAAATAAAACAAAACGTATTGAGACGTTTGTGTCATATTTGGTGCAATGACAATATATTTATTTACGTGTATATTTTTTTATTCACAGTTCGACAGATTTTTGTCTTCCAAAGGAGTTCACCCGGAACACGGAGGGAAATCATTCTGTGTCTTAACAGATGGACAGTTACATCTTCGCCAATGTCTCCACCCGGAGACCACCAACAAAAACATTTCATTGCCCTCATATTTTTTCAAGTTTTACGACTTGCGGAAAGAATTCAAGAAGTTCTACAAAACAGATAATATACCCAATATAAAATCTATGCTGGACTGTATCCTTTTTCTTTAATGCAAAATTTACACCAAGGAGAAATCTTGCGATGGAATATGTGAGTATCATAAACAAAACAAATTGTCTAACTTACTTTACAATTTATATGACACGTCTAAATTAATGGGTAACTCTCTAATCAATTTTGAGCCTCCATATTTCATTAAAAAAAAATTCGTATCGCGTATCATCTCTACATATATATTTAAAAATATGTTACGGTTGTGCCTTTTGAAAATTTCTCCCAGTAGAGTAATTATTAAACACCCATATTGCATAGTTATTCTAACCTGACGGTTTAATTGGAGCTCTTAAGAAAGAGAGAGAAAAAAGTTTGATATTGCTTGTTCCGTGTAATTCACACTCATTTTCAAAAGTCGTGAAATACTCTAATAGTTTTCAAGCTATTGTCAAACATTTCTCGTTAACATTTCTGTAAAAAAAAAAAAGTTGGTCTCAGTATGTCGATAAGTATAGCTGGATTCCTCTTGGCTGAGTAAACGAAAAGTTGGCGTTATACATAACTAAAAGAATTAAATATATTCATGAAGGCACCAGACAAAGGAACAGAATTAATGAGAAAAACAAACATACGGAATTAGGAGTAACAGGATTAATCGGGGAAAGAATGGAAAGTATCATTTAAAGTCCCCAAAATGAAAGTACAATCCGTTGATGTTTAGTCAGGTTGGATTAGGTTTAACACGGGTAGATCGGGGGTCTGCTATCCTTTGGGAGAAAAATAGGTTTACAGATTATATGTCGAACCAGTGTTTATTTAGCCGATTACCTCAAAAACCTGTCGTAATCATTTGTGGAATGGCTACTACCGATTACTATTGTAGCCTATGCGCCGATCCTTGTCCGAATACACACAATTTTTTATGGAGTTTTCTTGATCATCGATCATTTCTCGTATTGACATTCTCCAAAAATGATTTTTTTTTTGTTTATCAATGCGGAGTTTCTAGTCATATGCTGGGGAAAAGGGGGGGGGTAGGTTAAATTTATGATAGAAACATAGGTTGCAGCTGATCATGCAGAATTTTGGATAAATTGATCCATGCATTTGTCTTTCTCATATCACAAGAAACACGAAAAACATTGGTAAACAAATTATTAAGCAGCCTTAGCTGTTTATGCGTATACATGCAAAGGTTTTAAGAACATAAGCCACTACAAGTAGTTTTGCAAATCTTCGTCATAGCGATGTTGATGGTTTCTTTGTTTGCCGGCAGGGCCCAAGTTGGATAAATGAGTCCTCATCCGTGTTTGCCATAGCTGTGATGTCTAGTGATAACTTACCATTGTTTGTATCACACCGGGTAGTTGTACCCGACCCCTTCCTGATTTTAAATTTTCTTATCAGTATCTGAATGCAGTGAAACAACCTCTTCAGTGAGTGGATTGTTCACGCAACCGAGCTTTCTTATATAATGAAGCCCCCTAAAAGTTTTTTTTTAAAGATTTCATTTTGCTACCATAGATAGTATAATGATTTTCTCCTATGTCAATATTGCTTTGATTCTTGATAGCATTACACATGCATGTATATACACATTGAAAATGGAGGTGAATTTGATTTTGCACAAGCGTCCAATTTGTTTTTGTTTCTCCCTTGTTCGCCATGAAAGGCAAAATTGTGTGGTTTGTGGCAATATAACAAGTTATGTGTCATAAAAGAACTGGAAATGGGGCCTTTTATTTTCGTTGCTATACATTTCATTAGGGTTTGGCTCGGCGATATCTGTCACATCTGAAGGTTCAGTTTGACCATCACCAGAAATATGCCATCCTGTCCCAAGGACAAAAGCTAAAATTCTTTATCAAAACATACACCCCTGGCTCCATCCTTTTATATAGCCAACATTGACTTCCTAGATCTTTCTGATTGCTGGCCCGAGGTTGATATACAGCAACATTTATATGGTCATATACACCTCGGACTGAAGTAACACAAACTGCGAAAATACGATATTTACATGCAAAAGACAGTATAGAGATTTATGCAAGTTGATGAACAATTTATGCTAATTAATGTAAAAATAATCACAGCTTTAAGTCAATTTCTTCGTGCATTAACCTCGGAGGAATTGATAAAAAAAACAGAAGTGTTCAGTTTTTAATTTTAATGCAGATCATATGTATAAAATAAAACTTAAGTGCATTATGGAGAAAGATATAACGATTTCCTGTACTAAGACGGAGATTAAAGATTTCTTAGTAGATGCTCATCTCTGTTTTCGTGGGACGGAGATCTCTTTGCCCCAGGACATACGTTGGTGACAACACAATGATTGATTGTATTCAAGCTATCCTGGTAAAAAAAAAGTCATGGTTTGTGAATTTACACCGCCTGAGGCTTTTCTAAACATTCAGAAGCTTATACATACTAAAACTTTATTTTTATAAATGTAAATATAGTTACTGATTTCTTTTTTCTCATTTGGTAAACCGACATTTGTAAATATTGTGGGATAAGATGCAATTACGTTTTTGTGAAAAATGCTTAGACTACAAGTATTTTCTTTCTGAAAATGAATAAATACGGTTGTATGATTATAATATGATTTTAAGTTGCACACACTACATATTTTGGCATTTCACCTCTTTTGTTTCTTATGTTTTGCTGATCAAATAGCGGTTGTATGATAGTACGTTCAAACTTGCTCACAGAACTTTCTCATTTTCGTTTTGACGACAATTTACCATTCTAACTCCTTTGTCTTGCTCTGACCCAGGCGAAGTTCGATGTCACTTGCTGCTTTGTTTTTTGACATTGGTAGATGAGTCGGTACTATTGTTGTAGAAGGTATCCTAGTTTCAATTTCTGCGATTCCTTATCTCTCCTTATTAAGCGTAAATCTTCGAAGTTCCACACAATGGCTGTTATCAGAAAGGCCATCTTCTATTGTCATACAGACCTTCAAACTAACACAAAAACTGAAAGTTTTGGTACCAGATCATATACAATGCAATCTATCAGATCAAAGAAAAGCTAACCTCAAAAATATTTCTTTTTTAATTTAATGACTTTGGTGAAGAATATATTGGCGTACAGTATTCAAACTTGTGGTCATGGATTTTTTTTATGGGGAAAATGCAAGATGCGTAAGACAGGAATTTTAAAGACAAGGGTATCGATATCTGCAAGGGCACAAAGGCTGTAAGGATTGATTTTCTGTAGATCGAAGCTTTCCAAGTTTTGGGAGAGGGCTTTGTAAAAACTTGAGTAATACCGCTTCTTAGCCGAGAAACGTGAAGTCGTCAAAGACTTTAGGCTTATCGTTCGAGGAAAATGCTCGAGACTCTTAAAATCTTTAACAAAGTCTCTTTCTTCTGCAATTTATTTTGTTAAAAGTGATCATGTGTCATTGCTCTAACGATTAAAAATCTTGGCGGTGATCTGTCAGATTGCACCGTAACTTACATAGAGACTATCATACTAAACATAACTCATTTACGTAGGTATTAAACAACTTGAAGAATCGATCATCTACAAGGTACATGAATTTCAGGGGGGAAAACATGTCTTACACTTATTTTAAGAAGACAACAAAAACATTCAACAAGTTGTATTCTTCCATGAGCAAAATTTTTTGTATGTTGTCAAAATATCTTTACAAGAGAATAGATCTTTATATTTTGTTTGTACAGCTTACAACTAAATCCTTCGTAAATGCCCTTTAGGAGAAACTTAACTTATTCTGTACATACTGATAAAACAAAACATTCCCTTGTCAGAACAGTTTTATTCGGTGATTACTCAAGTTTTTCGCCCCAGGGATACACAGAAAACACCTTCTATCCATCCATTCCGAACCGAATAAATCACCTCGTCCACAATCCCACTAGCTGTTCTTTGCTCTAAAAAGTTAACATGCATGCATTTGTTTTATCTAAACACTGACATCAAAACAATCTTTAAAAATAATCTCCAGTTGACTATAATACAAAGGAAAATCGCCTGGGCGAATAAGTAAAGGATGTTCATGGCTCCATTTTTCTTTTTCTGTCGTCTGTTTTTCAAATGATATGTTTCTCACAAAAAGCGTGGTTCTTTTATATTGTTAACACACTGCACTGCGTTCATTTCTTCTAAAAACCCCATGTCTTTTAAAAGTGTAACTTGACATAACTATTTAATAGATGTGTAAATATAGCCTTGATAATCATCGTTCGCATTTCTTCTTTTGATTCATTTGAAGTTAGCGCAAACATTTTTTTTCGCAGGGAAGCTTTTTAAATATCTTAACTACTACATTACATTGGAAGTTTATCATTACATTATAATTTGTTTGAAGTATTACACCCATACGGTGTATAAAAAAGGATAATAATGAAATATAAAAGATCTTTCAATTACTAATAGAATTGTGAATGGGTTAGTACTTTTCCTTGACTCACTCCATTAGATTTAGGATTACAAGAGGACAACTCTGTGGAATATGGAATTCGACAATGTCAAGAAATGGCGAATGTTCTTCACAGATTAATCAACGATGGTAAATATAACATTATTTACTCTGATGTTAAACTTTACCCCCCCCCCCCCCTCCGATTTTAGAGAGCCCGTTGTTGTGTAGGATAAATATACTGTAGCATGATTTTATTCTTCTGCTTATGAAGTAACAATTTAAGGGGGTAAAAAGAGGACTATAGTCTTTCTTTTTTTTTACATTTGAGTTCACACTCGTTTTTTTAAATGTCTTTGAAGTCGAAGTCTTTGTTTGCGGTTTTGTAACTTTGCTTATTGATATCCAAATGTCGTAGACATATCACCCAAGAAATAATCGTGTGTTGTAGTTTGAAAATGTGTTGAGACACAAACCAAGATTCATCTGCAATTTTTAGCAAATGACATGAACTATACGTTTTGGAAATACAAAATATATCTGTTAAAGTCTATTTGTTAAACTTTTCAGAAAATGTAAATCGTTATCATGGACAAAATTGATCTCTTAGGATAGATATTGAGATTTTGGAGATTTGTCTATAGCTTATAACAAGTTTTGATTTTAGACTGATAAATTCCATTGAAGGCTTTATTAAAACAAAACAGCAAGATACTGTCAACACGTAAGATAGCTGAACAAGATATTATGGCGGTCTCTATCCATAGAAGTATTGTATATTTCCCGATCTTCATCTACCACATGCGAAGCGACACAATGTGTTTCTATGTGCTCTTCTTTTAATTTTAGGACACGTGTTTGGGGAACCAGAGATAATAAACGAACGCTTAGAACCCGGTATATGGTAAGCGCCATATCACGATATTTTGCGACATCTGTCTTCTTTACTGTAGCTGTGACTGCTGCTTTGGTAACATGTTGAACGCTGGAGCAGTAAATCAATATTTAGTAATTTTGTTAAATAAATAAAAATAAGATCATTGGATTAGTTCATAGATTTGCCCAGCTGTCCACATTCAATTATAGACGTTAAGCCATGTAAAGTTATTATTAATTTTGTAATTAAGTAAAAATGATACCATTTTCAAATACATAATTCATGCATATACTTGTATATATAAGTAATTTTTTTCTCATTTAGAAAATCAACCAAAATGACTTTTCATGTATCTAAAAATGATTTTTATACCATTGCAGCAGTAAATCGGACATTGTAGATGACAATCATGTTGTTCGGGCTCGCGGTCTTCCATGGCAGTCTTCCGACCAAGACATCGCTCGATTCTTCAAAGGATTGAACATTGCAAAGTACGTTTTTCGAACAAGGATTAATAATTTCCCCAGATGAAATATTTTTATTGAAGTATAACATACTAAAATACCCCATTTTCTTTAATAGAGGTGGCGTAGCTCTTTGCTTAAGTCCGCAGGGTAGGAGGAATGGGGAGGCATTGGTGAGATTAGAAAATGAAGAAAATAGGGACCTAGCACTGAAAAGGCATAAACATCATATTGGTCAAAGATACATAGAGGTGTATAAAGCCACTGGAAAGGATTTCGTCAATGTTGCCGGTGGTAGGTTGTCATTCAGATTGCATGTAATTATATTGTGAGATTCTGATTTAACCGAACTCTGAGGACGCTTTATTTTTGCGAGATATTTTATTCATAAGTTGGAGAAAACTTTCTCGATTTCTGGTTATTGTTATAATATATAATCTTAAGTAATACTACATGTACTATAAGCGAGAATAAAATTTCGCGACCCATTGTATTTACGCAAAAATAAAGTTCTCGCGGGTCAAAAGTTCTCATAGAATTTCAATTTTAACTTGTCTATTAAATCTGATGTCTCACGAAGGACAACTTGCTTTCAGGTAGTAATTCAGAAGCACAAGCATTTCTTTCAAGAGGTGGACAAGTCATTATACGCATGCGTGGTTTGCCATTTACAGCCACAGCGCAACAGGTGGTAAGTATAAAAACTGCCTACGTGCAGAAACAACTTTGCATATCCAGGCTTTTATTATTTAGGAATTAAGCGTACACAGAGTCCTTCATTTACTCTGCAAAACTTTGCATATTTATAACTACTTAGTATGAACTCAGATTACCCATGCATGATGTATGTTCAAAATTTGCTTAACATGATACATTTTTCAGCATGCGGTTTTAGCAAAATTGCTAAAACATTTTCTGAGCTGAATACAGGTAAGTTGAGGACCCCAATAAGTAATATTCATAAAAGGGAATGCGTGTGGACGCTAAGGGAGGTTACGGTTATAGGGGAGATAATTCGTGTTTTGTCGCCATATTGGATATGGAAATTTTGGTGCCAGTGATGAACCAATTGTATTGCAAGTTTTCCGACGGTGCGGGGCAGTTAAGGGTTGGTTGCAGGCTACAACTATAATTACTCAGATATCTTCACCTTAGGAGTGAAGCGGGGTATTCGTAGTAACATACGATTTACAAATAAAATTAATTCTTGGTAAATAGGTTATATATTCATTCATTCTATCAGGTCGGAGGTGTTTCTAAGACTACTTGAGGTGGCATTCCAAATATATCTTTGAAAATAATTATTTTTGAAAGCTTTTAGCAATTTAATGTTCTACGTGACATAAAGTTTATAATTTGATTTTTAGAAAGAGATGGTTCTTTATATTTGACATCTTCTAGATCATTTTTAGCTTGTAAAGTTTTTTTTTCTAAAGGAGGTATAGTTATCTCACTGTAGTGGAAGGGCGCAGTGCATGTTCACAAGAAAAGAAGGGGGTCATTGTGTCTTTGTGCAGAACCATTCTCTTTCTAACATTCCAAAAATTCACTTCGAGCTGAGTTGCTTTGAAACACCTCTGTTGATACTGAAAACGTTCTGATATTGGTATCTGCAGGACTTTGGAGGGCTCTCATCCCGTATTGTTGTGTTGGTATATATCATATGGGGTTTTTCATTAATCACTAATAAACAAAGTTGTGCTTAACAATTTAGTAGTAACAAGTACCACTGGGAAGGACAATAATATACTACAGGCTTTCAGGTATAATTATATGTGATACTTGCCAAAAAAAATCATAACACATGAAGCCGTTTTATCATTGAAAAGTTTTTGGTCAATCTTTGCCATCGACTTCCCCAGAAGGATGATGGCACAGCCTGCAGATACTAATTTACACCAGCTTATGATATTGGTGCATGATAAAAGCATTGTCAAAGTTGTCGTTGCTATTATCTGTCTTTGCGCTTACAGCTAGAGTTCTTTGCTCGAGAGCCATCCGTTTCGGTGTTGGATGGAGAAGAAGGGATTCTCTTCGTTCACTATCCTGATGGAAGATCCACTGGTGATGCTTTTGTACTTCTTGCCTCAGAAGAAGACGCTGTGTCAGCCTTGAAGAAACACAGGGAGATAATGGGAACACGCTACATTGAACTCTTTAAAAGCACTACAGCTGAAGTTCAACAGGTACCTATCAGTTATGAAGAACAGACTCAGTTAAATATTTGTTGACTTCAGAACAAGAGGAAACAGAGTAAAGGCCCATATATATTATCGTTCTGATTGAAAATGTTTCCAATGGTTGACGTATAGTTTATTTCTGAAAACAGGTTCTCAACAGAAGTATGGACCCACGAAACCCAGAACCCCAAGAAACCCCTCTTCCAGCAATAATCACTCAACTAACTCCGCAAAGCCAGCTTCCTTACATTCCTCAAAGCCTCATTACCAGCGGCACGCGTCGCGATTGCATCCGGTTACGCAACATTCCAGGTGGCGCTCAGGTTACAGATATTCTTAACTTCCTGGGCGAGTTCTCTCAATTCATAATCTTCCAGGGCGTTCACATGGTTTATACAGCACAGGTACAAATAAAATAATTTCATTATTTCTAGATTTGATTATTCTGAAAACACGAAGAAAACTTGAGACCAATACCTGAAAAAAATTGTTAAATGTGAAATTTGCGTTTTTACAGGGGGAACCTTCAGGTGAAGCATTCATACAGATGGATTCTGAGGAGTCAGCACAGCTGACAACAATAAACAGAAATAAGAGACACATGGTGTTTGCCCAAAAGAAAAGAATAATTGATGTTATACAGTGCTCTGGGGAGGATATGAATCTCGTTTTGACTAATGGTATTCCCACAACGTCTATACCTTCACCACCACAAATACCTTTTATACAGAGACCCATTCTATCACAAGGTATGCACTTCTATTTCATTGAAAATTAAACTGATATAATATATTTTCCCATTAAAGGATCTTTGAGTCTGATAGTGTACTCCATTGTATTTCAGGATTGTCTTCTTTTCCCTCCCCAACAACGCCCACACTCATTCCAACGTCTTTGCCATCACTGCAGCCGGCATCATTGCCTATTGCCCACTTGCCACAGCATCTCCAGACGGCCGCATTCCCGCCAACTATGATGTCTGCCCCCCTTGCAGCAGCTCCACGACCAGCCTACTTCCCCCAGATTGTTTACTGGTACCCTAGCCCTCCTATTTCTCCACAAACCTATGTCACACATACAGGGCCTCCGACGCTTGTCGTATTGAGAGGCCTACCCATCAATGCACAAGTTCAAGACATACTGAACTTCTTTCAAGGTTTTCCAGAGGTATGTTTAGGTCCATATTCCAAATTAAGAAATCATTTGAAGTACTTATCATTTGAGCTCTTGAAAATTATAAATCACAAACATCGTGATTTGTTACCTGAAAACAATACAGAGAAATTATTTTGAACATTGCTAAAGGAAAACCTAGTCTATTTGAAACAGGAAAATGTGTGTGGATATTCGAATAGGATGGAGCCCTGTATGTTTGAAGTGTGCATTTGAATTTTAGCTTTTGTATTGCTTCTAGAGTGTATCCATAGTTACCCATAGTTTCTGCTAACCGATCATCAGTATTCTTTCAATATTTCACTAACACATTTTATAAAAGTATGGACAATATATTGCTGTAACTTGTGCACAAGCAGATGTAAGCTCATCGCAATTGATATAAGGCATCAATAAAAAGCTTAAACTTTAAATACAATTACGTTGAGCTTAATAGTAGTTAAAGCTATATTGCACAGCACCTCAGAAATTGTGATTAAGAAACCATGTAATTGACTTTCTGTGTGTTTCATGTACATCTGTACATGGTGGAAGTTTCAACTAATGTGTGATTCATTTACTTTTAAATAACCTGACTCAGATCAATATTATAATTTCACAGCCTTCTACTCACAATATCATATGACCCTTCTATATCTTTCTGTTGTAGCACTTTATATCATATTTATCATAATTTTGTTCAATTCTAAAAATTGGCATGTTTAACTGTAAATGTTTCTTTTCATTTTAAATATAAATATTTAGTAAAGACATCATAAGGAAAGTGGCGTGGAAATGTGAATGAAATATGACATCAAAATTATATCTAACGTCATCACTATTCAAATTTCTGTATGAACAGAAATACCTTAAGTGGACTTCCTTGATGAATGGCTTAAATTATATCTTATTATATATTTTTTGTGTAGGTAACCCCAGAGAACATTCAGATCCAGATTTTACCCGACGGAAGACTTACAGGGGACGCATTGATTTCCTTCATGACACGGTCGGAAGCAGAGCGTGCAATAGCTCAGAGAAGCAAACATACAATAGGACAGTGTGTTATAGAGCTGTTTCTAGCCTAAATTGACATGGGTAAAGTACGCAGTGTGAAAAAAAATAATATAAAAAGAAAGAAAATCACACAATGTGTTCAGACATTCCAGGGTCCAAATAGATATGTTTATTTTAGCAATTTTATGATGTTTATTGTATTATAATTGTAAAGATATATATATATAAGCTAATCTCATTTTTCTTGAAAAGATCTTGTATTTCAGCTAAAAAATAGATCTGAACACACATGGCAAAATCTAGCAATATTATTTTTATATATAATTTCCAGTCAAAGTCTTGCCTGTCTCACTTCCGTTTCTGACTATTTTGCCATGTTTGTATTTTAAGAGTTGTTAGTACATGGTGTATGTTACTCTATAGAACAGATTACTGCAAAAGAATACGTTGCTAATTATTGGCGTTATTAGTGCTGCGAGAAATTGACATTTGTTTAATTTCATGAAAAAAAGAATATTTCAAAGTAATTATATAACATTGATATGCATATATAAGTGCCTAATTTGAGTATTGAATCAAGTATTGTTATGCCGTTATACACGTTACGAAATGATTGTGAGTACGCATTGTTTATTTTGTTTTTTTGTTTTTATTGTTGTTTATGTTTATATCAAAACATATCACTCCATGACAGCCGTTGATATTTTTGTATTTTTTAACCTTGTTTGAATATAAGACTTTTTTTAATATCTCGAAGTGAAGATTTTTATGATAATTTGACACCAGTCAAAACTTTATAGAAAAAAAAACAGTTCTATACACCAAAATCAACGCATAACTCTTATAAATATGCAAGAAAAATTCTATGCAATATCAAGAAATCAAACTGAAATTTGAATGTTCTAGTCATATTTGTTGTTTAGAATTTATTACATGTAATATACTAAATAATACTAGTAATCTCATATTTAGCAAGCGCTTCATACTTTGATTATTTGAGGTTGTGATTCTGAATTGTTGTACATAAGCCATGACAGCTATTTTCAACCGTAGGGATTGTCCTCATTTGCTTCGCTTCAATTATGAATACAAAGGTATAGATATTACGATTGTGCAATATCTAAGAGAAGAATTGCTTTAATTTTTTTTCATCTGTTTTTTTTTTCTAAATTATCTTGTTCATTTCCTTTTCACCAGAAATTTGAAAAACCTAGAAAAGTGTTAGAAAATCACATTTTGATTTGTTTAGTTCTATAATTTTTTTTTCTTCATGAAGACAGATTTTTTTAATGTCAGATAAATAAATAATAGATCTACTATAAATATACATCATTTAAATGTTACCATGTCTAGATATACTGATATTTGTTATTATATGATCATTCCTACGCATAATTGTACATTTTTGTAAAAAAAAAAAACTGCTGATGTATGACTTTTCCCACGATTTTTTGACGTGTGTTGTAGATATGATTGTAGCAATGTTAGATTTAGACTTTATATACATTATAACATCAAGTATAAATATTTCCATAAAAATGGCAATAAACAACTTAGAATTGCAGTGGTGGTGGTGCCGTATTTGTTTTGGTGTTGGTGGTGGCTTTTTTGCTTGAATTTATTCTCCATTATTCATGTGGAATTGCGCAATACACTCAGTTATTTTATGCCATAGCACGTGTGATTTCACGACGAAGGAAACTAGCACTAATATCATAAGAGCATTTTATGGTGGCAGTGTATTTATACATATCATTTTTAGAGTTATTTGCTCTTGATATTTTTGTGCGGGACGGGCGTTTTTAATGGGGGACTGCACAACAGAGTGCAAGTACTCACACAATTTTGCCAGGAATACCTTTGCCAGTGATTACATATTATTTATAACACAAATGTATTTTGACACGTGTTTAATTGTGCAATAAGGATTATGGACAATGTTTTTCAAATGGTTGAGGTATTAAAATTAGTTGGGTTCTAATTTTTGGGGATGATTTGGTGCACATTTGCTTTCTGTGATATATTTATTTTTAAGTTTTTAACACCTTTTTACAGAATTTTATCAAATATATATTTATTAAAACTTTTAAAATGTATACAAAATATGTCCATGTCTTTATTGACAATTAAACCGGAAATGGTATAAAATGTGTGGGTATTGTGCGCAACTTCCCTTTTTGTGATGTGGATCTGGTTCGGTTGCTCGTGGAGCCGGTGAAGGTGAACTTAGTTTCTCTTTGTGCTAAAAAAACCCAGGAAAACTAAACGGAATGAATTTACTCTTGTGGAGTCTTTGGTGCGTCAGGGTTAAAAAAGGTGGTACTTCAGGCTTTTACTAAAGGTGGCCAGTCCTTTTACACGAGTGCTGCAAACCTTAAAATATTTAACACGTTATTAGCTTGGGAAGGCAAGATGTCATGCAGTTGCAAAGTGCCATACCTTTTTTTTTTTTTAATTTAAACAGAAATACTCATATCAGTTTCAAAATACTTCTGAAAAATAGCATATCAAACACACTTATTATTTTGTCTCAACAATTATGTCATCTTGCTGCTGGTTTTATACCTGTGCAATACAAACCTCTAGCTGACCTCGATCTAATCAGAGTCAAAACGGAGCATGCGGTGACTAGTCAATGGAATAATGTTGCATGATTTTACTATTTATTATTCCTACATATCACTTTGTCGTTTGTTTTATTCACCCTTTTTTACATATAGATTGTAGAAAGTGTCTTTTAATTATACATAATCTTTATTTTTAACGCGCCAAGCTTATTTCATACGCAATACACATATTAAGTGACTAGAAAAACTAGTCGATATTGCTTATTCATCACTGCTCAATGTGATGATGCCAAGTTCACTGAGCAATGGTCAGCATACTTCATTTGTGTTTGTAAGCTTGGAAAGTGGTAAAGATTTCTGTATGTGTTCAGAAATATATATATATATATTTACATATTCTATGGGCAAGTGAAATATTCTTGTTCCAAATGTTAATGTATTACGTTGCATTTACAGTTTTTATTATTTTATGAAATGTCGCATTATTAAGAATAAAATATAGTTAAGTTGATCAATGCATTCTCATGGTTGGGGGTAGATCTTGAAATATGGATAACGAAATATATAGCATTATCTAAATTTGCTAAGTTCTTGCAGCGTATTAAAGTACCTTAATTGGCTGTTTGAAAATTAGTTGTTCAAGAGGACTTGGTAATCTCTTTTACTATTTCCATTTGTTTTACTGTAAGGAATCAAACATGTGAACGAACATGTTTAAAAAATCAGTCTACATTCATCGTGTTCAGAGTTTGTTTCGCAGATATTACCGGCATTGTTACCAGACAAAAGGGTTTTCTTGTATGTTTTAAATACTGTCGGGCTATCTTCTATCATTTGCTATCTAAGGTGCAAAAGTTCTGCGACTTGATAGCATTTGGCTTTGTTGAATACCTTGTGTTACTAGTGGCTGATCGTTCAACACAATCAAATGATTGGATCTTATCATTGGTTTAGCGCACCAACACCTCTCTGTGAGTATATCAGCACGGACTTGTTTTACTCTGTTGATATCCCATGTTTTGGAGAAATAATGCTGTTTTGAGTTCCTTCAGTTTGAATTTATATCGGGATCGATGTGGTTTTTTTTGGAGGAGATGCTCCATTTTGCGATGTCCATCTTATGTGAGATTTACATGTTCTTGAGTGACTTATTCTCTACAACTAAAACAAGATATAGACTGTACTACTTAGCGAAAGGCCCATTGACACTAGGGATCTCTTGAATAATAAGTTTCATTTTGGTAGATAACGATTTGACAATGTTCATTATCACAATCCGTGAAGGTTGCAACATATTCAAGTTCAAAAATGCATTTTCAATACATGACACACTTAACAGAAACAGTAATCCGAAGTCAATACTCTCAGTCTTAGTCTTACAGTTATCTCTTTATCATTGAAACAAGCTGCGAAGCAGAGAAAAATTGTATGACTGATCATAATGAGAGAGAGGAAGAATAGTATTGATACATGGACCTATTTGAAACAGTAAAGGTACAAAAGCATTCAAAGTACATCTTAAACAGATCTAATTAAATGATTCATAACTAATTTAAAGCATATCTATAAACGCTTCAGATTGAAATTATGTTGCCTTTTATTATATACATTGTTTCTACAAGGCATGAAGGCACAACATGTCAAGATTTCTTTTATCTATTTTAATCTGTCAGCTTTTTATCACTGTGATTAGTCTTTACATTATGTATCTTTTCGTTCTAAAAGTCATTTAAAATATCCTGGTTATGTCTGCCGTGTTGCTAATTCAATGAAATATATGGAGATAACGAACAGTATTCAAGCTCAAACGTCCATTTAAACAATACATATTTTGCAGCAGAGCAAACACGGACCTCTAAAACATCAGAGGTGGGATCAGGTGCAATGGAGGAGTGAGCATCCCCTGCCGACTGGTCACACCCGCCGTGTGCTCCTTGTCATGATCGGGTAATAACGGAAAAATATGTCGACAATTCAGTGTGTAAATAATGGCCTAAAATTAGTATGAAAAACGTCAGTCAGCATTTGACTTAAAGGCTGACAAGGTCATTGTATCGACCATAGAACTTACGAAATGACGACTTTAAACGGGAATGCTGATATTCTTGTTTCATCAACTTGTTTGTCAATAATTTACCTCGTTTTAGAAATTGTTCATACGTAGAGCATGCTCTTGCGTATCGAATCAACTGAGAGATATAAACCCCATATACAGGTGATGAAGGTATATTGCTGCATAAGTACATTTAAGGGAAGTTGACGATTGAAAAGTTAAAGTCATCACGTTTATCATAAAGTTTGGTTGTTAGATAACCATTAACATCTTTTTCTAGTAAAATATCCAAATATGAAACAGCCTCTGTGATATCTTTTATTTCAAGCTCACCGGGATATATCGTATCGACATAAGAATGGAAATGACCATTGTTAATTGACAACACGTCGTCGATATATCTAAATGTCGAGTTGAAGGCCACAACAAGTGTTTTCTTTTCATGTATAAGATTTTGAACAAAGCTCAAATAGTATAATATACATAGAATAAGTACTATAATTTAGTTTCATAATAAACAACACAAGACGTTTAGCAAGAAATTTTGAAAGTGCTTCATATAGAACACATTTTCAGTATATGATTATCTTTTCCCTATCCTGGGTGCTTAAACTCTGGATCGAGGGAATATGAATTTATAATTTTAGAAAGAACACCTTCTTTGTCATCATATATGAAGTTTCCAGACAAATGTTCAGAAGTGAAGAAAAAGATTTCCAAAGATATATTGTATGATTTTAAATCTATGATTCTCCTAGTCTCCCCCGAGGCCTGAACGTTGATCCCAGGGAATATTTAATGCAATCCTAAATACAGAGTGCCTAGATGTTCAGGAAAATTAATGCATTTTCAATATATGACTCTTTTTTTAAGGATTGTAATGTAAATCTTATTTTACTTTCGGACAGTCTGGTCTAACAACTATCTCCTCTGTGAACGTAAATTAGTTATTGTGAAACAAACTGCAACGCATGAAAAATTGTAAAATTGACTGTCACAATGAGAAAGAGGAAGGGAAAGATCTGACCACTGTTTGAAAGTAAAACAGTATTGAGGGATGGACCTTATTTGAGACAGTAGGAAACGTTACAATGTAAATATACATTATCAGCAGATCTAATTAGACAATTCCTTACCAATGTTAAGCATATTTGAATGCCTTTAAAACGAAATTATATTGCTACAAATATTTGTAAGAGTCTCAGAGGCGTGGCGTAAAAAAGAAAACATGTTGAGAAAAGGTCCTCAGAGCGCACAAAACTTCGTGAGGAATATAAGCCTGGTTTTGTTACATTTTGCAAGAAGAGCACAACAATTCATTCGGTTTTATTGAATTTACAGCTTTTTATAAGTTTGTCGTTTGTCTAAGTACTAAAAATCTTTTTCCTCTTAAAAATATACATTTTATGTCCACCGCATTGCT